TTAATTTTTAAGAAAGATTATTGGGAACATGAATTTAAATACAGCGAGCCAATCCAGAATCGCATGAAGGCACCCCAGGGTACCATCCAGCTGTAAAAACTAAGAATGGAAGAGCCATCTAAATCCATCCCGCAGCCGATGCAGCATAGTTCCCTACAGGATATTTACAAGTTTTTAGCGCCTTGGCCTCGTGCCTCATGTGCACCAGAGACATACTTTTAGGCCAATAAAACATCCCTTGTCATGGCTTAATGCTGTAAGAATGAATTTATCACTAATTATTTCCTTTTTTAAAGCCCAGCTCTTCACATAGCAGTGGCATAATTCTTAAAAATCACACTAGTTAAAGAGCAGACGTACGCCGTCCCCTCCAGCTCCCTGCCCATGAAGGCCAGCTATTCAAATGTTTTTTCTTTCCCCAGATTAATTTCAGCTCTTGCAGTTGAGGAGGGGCTGAAAACACCGATCATGGGGGTGCTGGGGGAAGCGGCTCGAGCCCTCTTGCGGCTCCTGCCCAGGCACCCTCCCACCAAGGGTCTGCTGGAGGCCTGGAAGGACTTTTCCTTCATGGTGGTGCCGTCCAGGTTAGAAAAGGGGGCGCCTCTTCAGGCTTAATCCCGGAGCTAAGTGCAAATTCTGACAAAGCAAGGCCTGACAAAGTGAAGATGAAGTTTTGACTTAACTGAAGCCTAAGGAAATATGATTTCACTTTAAATAAGCCTCTCTTTGCCTCGCGCGCATACACACAATCCCAACCTAAGTGATTTCATCTTTCATAGCTGAAGGTCAGACATTTCAACGTTGTATTTTTTCCACAGCGAGTCACAATTTCTGGCAGATCTGCACAATCGACATCCTAAATAAACCACAAAAGCAAGGCAATTTGAAGTTATTGGATGCTTTTATTTTAATGTAGCACCCAGCTCCATATCACATACATTTTCCAAAATTAGATGGGCATAGTATAGAACACTATACATTTTGCAGCTTACCACGTGGACAGTCTGCAGCTGTGAAAACAAATTGCTTAAATCTGGCTATCTACTTCATAAGTTAAAATTCAAATATATAATAGCCTCAGGGTATTTTTTTTAGATTAACAACGATAATGCTTGCAATATCATTTTTTTTATATAAAAAAAATCAGTTAACAGAGTAAAACGTAACGCATATGTTCATAGCACATTATCATGAAGATAACTGAAAAAAGCTTCAAAATACATCATCTCTTCTCAAGGGTACGACATCACTTGGATTTATTTTTTTTCCTGAAAGAATACTTTTACTCTTTACTCAATAAAATATGTGGCTTCATGAGGGCCTCTCTGCCTTCTTTTATAACCCCGTGTATTTTCTTGTCAAGGACCGTGTGTGCTGAAGGCCGAAGGGCCGATGGTGCTGGAAAGCGGACATCCCTCATTCCCTGGCTAGCAACTTTTACAGGCTCACTTCCTCCTGATCTGGAAGCTCAGCTGGGAGGAAAGCAGCTGATACCCCACCAAAAGGCGATTTTCCTATCAAGCCCACCTTAAGTGCTTTCTGTGAGGGATTCCAAGCCCCAACCATCCCTTTGGGGTTGTTTTACTATGCCAGTTGTCACTGCCCCGCACTGGTGAGCCCTGACAGCGTCAAGCTGGGACTGTCCGGACTAAAGCCGACCAAGTTCCTCTCCCTGATGTGGATACAGAATTCCCAGCAGCAAAACCACCGCCATGCACATAAAAAGAGTCTGGAGATAATCTTTTGAGTTAAAAAAAGGATGTTCACCAACTTACCAATAACAGGGCTGAATCCACTAATCACTGATATTTTTGCTACGTCAGCAGAACTCTCTGGAAGAGAGAACTGAGAACTGTCTGGGAAGAGGTGCTCATGTTCCCACTGCATCCTAGTATACATTTAGTAACTAGGAGAAGGACATTGATTATGAAGGATTAATGTTTGTTCACAGGCTGTTTGTTTAAAGGAATGCCTCTGCAATGGAAGCTGTTCGCCTTGCGTAATTACCAGGTCTTCATTTATATTTAAAGGCTCAAGTAAAAATGGCTTATCTACAAAGGCAAGCAGTCACTACACTTAGCTGGGCATTTTTCTTTTTTCGCCGCTGAATTACCATGTATTGAAACAACTATTTCATAGACAGGTGATATGAACGTCAACAGATCCATGAAGAAATGCATGATCAAAAGGAAGACATGCTTACACACACACTGAGGAATATCCTTATCTACTCGGCCTACTCATGTCCTGCAGACACAAATATTTAATTCTCCAAACCAGAACAACTGCGTGGAACTGAAGACTTTGAAAGGGGCACCAGGTTCACGGTCTGCGCATCCTCTCAGATGCTAGGAAGCTGTGCTCCAGCTCCTGGTCCCAGTTACCCTCTCTTGCTGGGCATGTTCTGCTCTGCATAAATAACCACAGAAACCGTGAGCTGAGGAGAATGAGACCTCACGCATGGGAAGCTGCTCTCGCTCCTTGGTCGGGCCGTGAGCTTGGGACGGGCAGGGCCTAGTTGCTGTTCTGGGTCAGGCACATCAGGGGCTTAAAGTCAATAGCTCTCCTGTAGCTCAAGAAAGAGTCCTGAACATTGAGCAAACTGCCTGTGAGTTCCTCCCTTCTGACCCGGTGGTCTGTCTCGCGTCTAGGAGTATCTCCTGTCCAAACTTCAGAAAGTAAAGGTTTCTGTAAGAAATTATGTCTTCGCTATACTCACATTTTTCCAAAGGAAAAATACTTTTTGAGAAAATCTGTGACACAGGACTTTGATGTGAATTTTGACCAGCCAGGGCCTGTTAACACCAGCCATGAGCATGGCTGCCTGGAGCCAATGCCAGAAGCACTGTCTATAGCTTCACAATGCCTTCTCCTCTCCCTCTCAAAATGTTAACAGCCCCCCAAAACCAGAGACACTTTTTCATTTTGCATGGGCTATATCATGAATACTTAAGTACTGAGACATACAGAAGAATAACTTCCTGCATCCTATTTATAACACACCAACATTTCTCCTCAAATATTTCGTTTTACTCTCTATGTGGGGTAGTGTATCGTCATCATAGCCGACATTTCACCAAAGAGAATACAAATCAACTCACACACTCTAGGTCTTGAAGCTGAGTGGGGTGTTTGATTGCATCCCTAAAAATGCAGGGATGGTTAGAGTTTAAATTTATTATGTCCCGTGGTAGAGTAACAACTGAGTAAGTATGTCATTATTGGCTAACCATGTATCCTGATTTCCAGTGAATGGAAAAAAAAAAAACACCTGTATGTTAGAAGGGAGACATGTGAAAAAGACATATAAAGCACTTTTCCACTCCTCCTTTGAACAGCATCTATTCCATGAATAACCCACATGAAATAAATGAGGGATTATTCTAGAGGAAACACCTATCAAACATGAAAAAGTCCTCCACTGCCTTAAAAATGCAATGTGCACGCTTCATTGCAATCATTGAAAAGCTTTCCTTAAAAAATCACCCATAAAATAAAAAAAAAAAAAAAAAAAAAAAAAAAAAAAAAAAAAAAAAAAAAAAAAAAAAAAAAAAAAAAAAAAAAAAAAAAGTGGCAGATGATTATTTCCTATCAAATAGTAGGGGCTTATTAACCAAATGACAATGTAAGAACTAAAAAGCAAACAAAGAGCGAGCATTTAACCTCATTAAAATCTCAGGCATGACTCAGTGTTATGAACATATGAAATAAATGGTGATAACTTCTGAACAGTACCGGCAGTAGCGAGAAGGCAGCAGAGGGTTTGCAGCTTCCCGGAAAAGTCTGCAGTTCTCGCATTCTGCCACTGACCAGGAATGGCCCCACAAAGCACCTCCCAAATCCAGAGAAACGGTTGTTGCTTGTTGACAGAGTGACGTTTAGTTGAATCAGATTTTCAGTAACAGTTCTGCAAATGCTTACTTTCACCTTCAGCCTTCTGGATCCACGTCCCACATCCATAATCCTTGCAGCAAAAGTAGGCCGTCTCCTCATCGCCTCAAACGCTCCCGTTGATGTCTGTCTGATCTCTCAACAAAATGTTTGGCTGCTCTGGTGTGTCCTCCGATACCCCACCACAGCCATTCCGTGATACACCCTGAAGGGAGGCTACCCAGCTGCTTCAAACCCGGCTTCTCCCCTCCTCTCAGCCCTACGGGCCATCCTACAGCTACAGGGAGAAAGCATCGCACCAACAACGGTAAAAAACTGCTGCGCCGTTTCTGCAAGGCGAACGCGTACACTCCAATTAGGTCAGCAAACAACAGGATATGAAACACGTGCAGCGCCACGTTTAAGATGGGTAACAAGTAGGTGACCCCCCCTTGCAGTGAAGCACGCATCATATCCATGGAGGGAGCAGGGCTGACACTGCAACGTCTAAAGTCGCCCAGCACAAGGGTATTGGCCCAAGAAATAAAGCAACATTAGTTAGCCAGCTTCCATTGCAAGAACTGAGACCAAAGCCAATGACCACTGCATCCATGGAAAAAACTCCCATGGAATTCAGTTGGCCCTGGATCACACTCAGGTAAAAGATTAATCTTTGCTTCTTCATTTAGAAAATAGATGGGCATTAGCAGCTTCATCCTATCAGTAGCATCTCCAGCGAGGTGCAAAGGAACCTTAAAAAAAGCCTGCTTGTAGACGGCAATTATTTCCATCGCACATTTTATAGCCTCATGTATAGTACTTTTGCTATCATTCTTCCTTTGAAAATACAGTTCTTGTATGTATCCTTAAAACAAATCAGCAGCTATTAGGACAACAAAGCAAACCAATACAAATGTACATAGAAAAGCTTTTAAAAAATGCCCAGAACACATTTTTAACCTCTTGTTAGAAATACACTGTTGGTTAAAAAAAAAAAAAAGAAAAAAGCTATAAGCCAGTGATCTCAAACATGCTAAAAATATGCAGACACTTGCAGTTGCCAGCAAGTGATCAAACACCAGTGATAGGAAACAGTTATAGCTCAAAAATCAGATTTGGTTTTTTTGTAATTTCGAAAATAATTAAATTTTAGTATTTTTTACTCTTCTCTCATACGATTTGAACTTATAAAATACAAGTTCTCTAACGTTAAAATACATCCGTGATTGCATAATAACCAGCGCTAAGAAAATAATTATCTGACGTGATTGTGGATAAAGACTCTGCACGCTTAGTGAGTTTTATTCCTGTAGTACATTAAACCCCCAGCTACTCTACCATGATACAATCCTACAGGAATCAGTAACATCCAGAAGCCCATCTCAGAGGATGAGTTTTAAATTTAAGCAAGAATTCAGGAATGCTGTACCTCTTAATGATTGGGGCAGGAGGTGCTGCCAGAACGTGTATAAATCAGGAATTCTTTACATAAATAAAATACTCTCAGGTTATTCATTTCAATGATAAACTGCATTTACACATCAGGCTGGGAAGAGGGAGGAAAGAAGACGAAGCCTCCCCCCGCTCAGAAACATCCAGCAGTCAGATATTTATTCTCTGTACCTTCTTCACCTGCAAAGGCAAACGTGCGCAAGCGGGGCGACGGGAGACCCGACAAGCCGGTCCTCCCCACTGCCACCACCTCGGCGGAAACTCTGCCCAGCCGCACCGCACTCCCCTCCTTGCGAGGCTGGCGGGACGCCTGCTCCGCTCTTGTGGCGGGAGGTCACAAGACGGTGACGGGACGTAGCTGCTCCAGCTGCGTTTCCAAGGCAATTCGTTCCTTGTGAACCTCCTGCGGGAGGGAGAGAGATGCGCTGTAACCTTTGGGATGCTCACGTGCACCACCCGCTCCGGTGAAGAGCAGCCAGGCAAAACCGCTGGCATTGGCTGGAGGCTCCGGGCTCTGCTGTTTAAATAACTCTCCTCGCAGTCTTGAAACCCCATACCAACGCCACACAACCACCTCGCTCTAGGAGAGCCTGCTTTAGCAGGGGGGTTGGACTAGATGATCTCCCGAGGTCCCTTCCAACCCTTGCGATTCTGTGATTCTGTGATCTACGGGGCAATACAGAGGCTCGGTTACTTGCTCAGGTGACCACGAAGACGAGCAGTCATCCACTGGCCAGTGGAACAGCTTGGGATGCAGCGATGCTGGCCACAGGTTGGCAATTTCACCACAGAAAATGAGGTTATTTTGAAATCACATTACCCTCAAAAACGCTTTTTGAGAATTTTTGGTTCACACAACCAACCTCTTTGCATTTGGAAATGAACGAGGCTTAGCCTTTCTAAGGCAATGCAGGCTTTGCAATCTGCCTCTCTGGCAACTGCGTCAGGAAGACCATCAGTCTCAATCAGAAACCCACTCTGAAGGCGTTGGGGATCAGCAATTTTGGGAAAGCCTCTCCTGGTCTCGAGGCCGCCCCTGTGCTGAGGGGCACCCGTCTCTCACTGACCTCCTGTCAAAAGGCTCCCCAGCCCTTGAGGGAGCCGGGCCGACCTGTGACTCCTCCAGGCTTTGGTACCACCATTTGGACAGCCTCAGCCCGGGAGTGCACCTGAATGCTCCCCATGTCTCAGTGCAAGCTGTGCCCGAGGGGCACCCATCAAGCCTTCTGGTCCCCATGAAAACACAAAGGCCCTGCTCCATCAGAAAGGAGCCGGGCAGCAACACGACTTGAAGGACAAGTTTAGTTTTCTGCTCTTGTGTGAACTCTGGCAAATCTCTCTGTCTTGACGTGCTTCATTTGCCCTACCGTAAAATACAGATAACAGCTGTTTTGTGAAGGTCGGGGAATTTAAGCGTGCTGAGGATAGCACATGGAAGCAGATAAGACCTGAGCCAAGGAATGATGGCAATACGCTGTCATTAAAAGCTTTCATCTCCATGCTTATTTCAGTCGCTGTCCTATATTTTGCTACAATTTCAGTACAGAGCATCCACCCTGCATCAGTCTGGGGAGATCCTTGAAAGCCAGTTAAGAAATTATATTAAAGCAAAGTTGAACACAGAATCAAACTTTAACCTTGACTGAAAAAAAAAGCGTAACTGGGGGTTCACCTCCCTTTCTATATGAGCATGTTCATAATATGCAGGGAAGAAAAAGCTGTAGCAAATGAAAAACTAAAGTCTGTACTACCTTTGGACTGAGAAAACAGAAGAACCACAACTGATAGGTGTAAGAAAACATACCCTTGAGAACACATTAAAAGACAAGCGAGCAGACATTAAAAATCAGTGTTTGATGTTCACGTAAAGCATGGTGTAGCCAGTCCATGTATACCAAATGCCTGACTCCGGGAGAAGTTACATAGCACAACTGATCAGAAGACAAGCAAGTTATGCTCGAGTTGCTCTTCCGCACTAGGTGACACCATCACGTAATCAAACTTTTCAAAAAGACAAAGTTTGCTTACTCTAACTGCCAGTGGAGCTGTAGGTCCGTAGGTTATAACTCTTCCCAGAAAGGCTCATCCTACCCACGCATACAGTACAGTTATACCCTTTCAGAAAGGAGGAAACAACGCAGGTTTCATCTGAGAGGATGAGCAAGACTCTCTGCTGGAAGCGACACATCACTGATTGCAGGGAGCTTTGTCACCGATTTTCAATGCGTTCCTTACCTTCAGCTGCTGCTGGAGCTCACTGTTCAACCTGGCGAGCACAGCATTGGCTTCTTTGTTTTTTCGTATAGCGGTCTGAATAGCCCTTTTCTGCTTGGAAGACTGTCTGCCAGACAGATAAACACAAAACATTTCAATTAAGAGCCTCAACAGTGGCTGATGCCAGAAGGCCAGCCATCCATTTTGCGCGTCTGTACTCTAGACACACTGGACTACACTTCAAAGACCAGATACAAACTACACATTTAAGAGAAGAAAAATGTAACACTGAAATGAGATAGCTGAATCAGGTAGACTATTTGGAAGTAAAATGGTCACACTTGTTAACCTGAATGACGGAAACTTTTCAGGATGTCTCCATTATTTCAAAATCACTGCATTCTGATTCAGCTTAAGAGTAATCCCTGCATGGCTGTACTTATCGCATCATCTTTGCTTTAGCTGTTTTCAGATACTTGCAGAGTTTAAAGATTTGGGAGTGTTAACAGAAAATACAAAAAAATCATTCTATGTGGAAAGAAAGGGCATCTGCATGATAATACTGTCTCAGATTTTTTGGGGCACTGCTGATTCTCATGTTTCATTACTTCAAAAATGAATCTTTCTTTCATTCAAAGCAGTCATTTCTATCAAAACCATTTGATGTCAGAAACAGGAACACATAGATGGCTTATGGACTTTCCTCATCTCTTTTGCTGCTTAAAGAAATGATTTATCTATTATTATTATTATTATTATTATTATTATTATTATTATTACTACTACTCTACAGCCCGTGGTAACTGATTTGGAGGAAATTACAGTTAGGCAGACAGGTACAAAAAGAGACAACTCTGTACATAAGGACCAATGTCTTCCAAGAAACAGCGGTAACAACAGGAAAAAGGAAAGAAAATACGGGAAATACTGGCAAGCCCTTTTCCAAATAGATTATTTTAAAGTTTTTACATGAGGCCTCAAGAGCTCTTTAATGACAAATTTCATCTAAACCAGATGCCCTATTTAAATGAGGTCCATAGTGGTACACAGTCCCCATTGGCTCTTTTCTCTTAACAGGGCTGATGGCACCGATCTTGGCAATGGGATCTGTTTCGCAGCACAGGCAGGTCTTTATGCTGTTATCTTCCAGTGAGCTGTCAGTTTTCTGCTTTACCATTTTGCTTCAAACTACTCTCCGTAGGCTATAAAGTAATAATGGTAGGAAAATACAAAAAGCGGGGAGATACACCTCTGTGGTCATTTAAACATTTTAGGAAAGATACAGACAAGATAGGATTAAGTCGAGACGCTAACAAATGCTGTTATCTCTCTTTGAACCACTATGGAATATGCACTCCCAAAGCACAAAATAGCACTTTAAGGGCAGGAGTCTGATTACTTATTCTAATCTCCAATTATGCAGCCCAGATTCAGTTCACTGATAAACAGTTTGCCAAGAACCGCTCAACCGATTTGGGCGGCTCGGTTTTGTTTCAGACTGAACCAGATGCCTTTGCAAGGCTTCGGGTGAAGGCAGGCTATAATGTTTGCACAGTTTCAGTTGCGGGGGATGTACAGACCCAACGGGGCTTCAAGCGCCTCTGCTTATCATTTGTACAGCCCCTTCTCCACTGCTATTAAATAAATATGTAGTGAAAACCCTACAAGTCTCTGCTGTTGACAGATTCGACAGTTATATTCATGTGACCAAACAACACATGCTGGGTTTGGCAATTACTGGATTATCACAAGTGGTCTATGGCTCAGCTCATACCAGTGGCGAGCTCATTTCCAACCTGCCTTGCGATGAAGAAATATCACAAGGATATGACCAATATCAAGCATTTCATGACTCAATTTTCTGGGCATTTATCTGGTCGTATCTGTCCACATGAATGAGCAAAATTCCAGAAGATATGTGCAAGGCACACACCCACAGAGCTAAAAGGAGCTGCATTAGAGATGCTGTTTGAACAGCTAGGCTTGCTCTTCAGAGTTGTCTACCAGATACAGAGGTAGGACACCTTTGAAGAGGTATCAATCAAATATTACCAACTTATACAGTCACTACAGACTTAGTCTGCATTTCAGAAGAGGGATGTAGATGCGAAGCATTCTCAAAACCAGAACTATTAAGCATAACACTATGCAAAGCGCAAACCCTGCCACATCAGATCTCACGGTGCGGTTTGGTGTGCTCGGTACAGGTTTTTACTTTTGGACTGGGAGATGAGGCTTGGCTGCTGGCAGTGAAGAAGTCACACTTATAGTGGGAGAAAGCTCGGGGGTCTCCAGCCCCTGTGCCTCTGTCCGGAGCTTCCTGCGGGTGGGTTTGGAGGGCGGCTGAGCAAGAACAACCTCCTGCAAGGGAGAAGCAAAGCAACGTTAAGTCAGGCCATATGCGTCCCATCATTAGGATAGGGAATACTCATGACACAGAAATTGCTGACAGCTGGCCTAAGATTTCATAATTTAAAGAGGTACAGAGCTTAATTCAAATTTGGTAATAATCTCTCAGGTTTCTGACTTTGAAAAAAGGAACAATAACTCCTGCAACCCTGTAATGAATGAAATGATTATACTGGTGTTTTGTCTTCATCTGGATGACAGGCTCTTCAGAACCGGATTGTATAGCTCTATGTGCATTTGCGGGGGGAGAGTGGGGGAGCAGAGGGAGGGGTATAAATACATATACTAGTCCCCAGATGACCCAAAAGCATTAAAACCAAACCAATTTTTAATTACTCTCAGTTGGTAAGAATAAATAATCAATCACTTGCATTCCAACTTACTACCTCACCCATCTGGCATGGAGTCTCTCCCTTCTTCCTTACATGAAGCAACACTGAAAATAGCTTAGAAAGACAAATGTATAAAATTATCCATGCAAAATTAACATGTTGAAAGTGTAGAAGGCCAGTTATTTCTCTTGATAAGTTATATCAAATAAATAGTCTGGTTTGTAGGTAAAACAGAGAGTCTTGGATTTTTATGACTTCAGTGGTAAGAAGTGTTTTCATTATTTTAAATTAAGATATCCTTTCTTCTGCAATAAGAAGTCGTTTTAATGCCTTATAGCTGTTTCAAACCTGAAATATAAATATATCCTTTTCAGTGTGTTTTATTATTAGATCTCTTTTACAAGGGATATAAATATTACTGTCCTATTTCATGAATGAGAAAGCTAAGACTCAAAAAGATGAAGTGACTTGACAAAGGTTATACATTTAGTGTCACAGACAAGACCACAGATGAAGTTTTATTATCACTTGCACAGTGCACATTTTACTGGGCCAGATGATCTTCCTTGCTATGTTTTGGCCAAATGTTAATAAAATCAGAAAAAAATTATATGAGGAAGCACTTAATGACCCAGCAATCATAAGAAAAAATCCCCAACATTGGAGTAAGCAGCTTGACTCAGCAGAAGAGAGTACTATGAGTGAAATAGAACGAAACCAACATAAGATCATCAATAATTAGTATTAGAGGGATTACAGTTATTAGAGGAATTAGAATTCTAAGGAAACAAGTGATTTCAACATTAAAAACCAGTTCTGCCATTGCAGAAAAAAAAATAAATCTAAAAATATTATGAGATCTTTTGATCAGGACGTCAGCACATCAGCACTGCACAGCTCTCAGTGCTCTGAAATCCTATGCATACGTGCAGCTCCCTGCAAAGCCATGACGTGCGGCAAGCAAAGAACTTGGGTATGCCTTATACAGCTATGAACTGGTGGGATGCCAAATGCACAATCCCAGTCTGCCCTGAACTGACAAAAACCTACTAAATCCATAAGATAAATCCCTCTTCCATTTCAAACGCAATACTGGAAGAAGTGATCCAATACCTAAAACGCTGAGCCCCCTGCAGGGGCTCTTTGCCTGGCAGCTGTTGCAGCAGGCCTTGGAAGGTGGGCCAGCACTGCGCCAACAACCTGCCCCCTGCACCCCACAGCCTGGGCTCCTCTGTATTTTAGGGATGGGGGTGAGCATGAAGTAGGTGAACCACAAAGATTTCCTTTCCCCAGCAGGGCTGCAAAGCAAAGCAAGGAAGAAGCAGGGCTAGGCCAGTTAGCAGCATACGGTGAGCCCAAGTGGAGCGAGGACGCCGCCCTGGAAGCCCTATCGCATATAGGAGATGACACCGGGCATTTGTCTTTGCCCCCCGTTAGGGTAAGAGGTGTGATGATGCTCCCTGGGCAAGGCACGCACTGGGAACAGCATCTGTCCTTGACTGGGCCGAGCAAAGGTCTTGCAGGTGCTCCCTGGCTGCAGGAGGGGCAGGAGCGGGGAGGATCGGCATTTGCCCCCTATCAAAAACTTCTTCTGGCTGGGGCTGGTGGAAGGAGGCAGAGGGAGCGTGACCAGGAGTGGGGAAAGGCTCACAGCCATTGCTAAGTTCACTCCACCCCTAAGCAAGGCCCTGCATTGCAATTTCGGTGCTTTCTTTATACAAATGGCATGTTCATACAAAAACATATTAAGAACTGCACATCTCAAGCAAATCTCTCCCAGCCTATGTACACTTAGTAGCAGATTCTGACCTCCAGCAAACAGGTGTGGTTACATCAAAACTGAATCCGCAATAACTGGAAGCAAGAAGTGTGCCTCACAAAATTTGGAAGAACTACAGCGAGACAGGGGTCAAGTACAATCAAACTCTTTTTTTGCCTTCCCTAAGGCTCCGCAAGCCCCTATTGATTTGAAACAAATGGCAAGCTGCCTCTCTCAAAGCACGTGCATCGATGTGTATGTACTAAGAGCATTCTTAATGATTTATCTGAGCTGATGTCACACGCGAGCCCGGTTCTCTCTAGCGTCTTGACCTCCAGAGAAGGCAAACACGTGAAAACGTAACCCTAACCCTCCATTTAATTGCTCTAAAACTTAAAACAACCACATTTGTTGACAAAGGCAAATCACTCCACAGCGGTACAAGTGCAAGTCTCACCTTTTTTGCTGAACTGTTTTCTTCTGCCTGCGATGGGGGTCTGTTCATCTGAGGATGTAATTCAACCTCAGATACTTGCTCGGTCTGCAACAACAGATCAGTCATTGCTACACCCAGAAAACGACTAGCAGTCACATACAATAAAGTCAATGAAAGGAAACGTTACACGCAGAAGAAAAGTTACTTTAACAATTCAACAGTAGGGGAAACAGAGATCCAGGGTGACAGCTGAATGGATGACATATATCTTTTGCAGATTTTTAATGAAACAGTTTTCTTGCATTTTATTGTGCTAGGAGAACAAGAGAAAAGTTCTGTGAAGCATTAGGAACCATGTCTCTGGATGTAAATGACCTAGTACCCAGAATTTCTTCTAGAGTTACCCTTATGGCCTAAATACTCAGAGAAAGACTAAGTGGGGTGGATAAAAGCTAGAAAGATCTTGGCTGCGCCCTGTCACCTTATCAGCTCCTGAAACTGATGAAAATTCATCAGAGTAAGCCTCTGTCTTTGAAGTTTGCAAGGCTGGAGTGACACAGTCTGAATTATACCAAAAATTCCAGTAAAGTTACTGAGAACACAAGTCACAGAAGAAGCCAAATACATCTTCTCGCCTTCTCACATTTCAAACAGAAACCGAGCTGAACGCTCATCGCACAGGTCTATGCTTGGGCAAAACAAAACACCCCCTCCCTCCCCCCCCCAGCATATCTGACCGAGCAGCAAGTTAAGAGAGAGGGTTAATCCCTTGCTTCGCCTCTCCTGAAATCTTCCAGCACCTTCCAATTTGCTCCACCAGGACAGGGCACAGCACATCAGCTAAGGCAGGGCAGCGGGATTTGGAGCACCCTGCAGCAAACACGCTATTAAACACCGTGCGGCTGTTTTCTGTCCAGAAGGTACGGATGGCTTTCCAAGACAGGGAAGACAGGGAGGAGGGAGGCTGAGGGCACTTGGCACTGCCAGGCAGCCTCTTCTCTTTCCCAACTTCTGCCAAGTTGGAGCCAGGCTGACAACGGCCCCCAGGCAGCAGAGGCAACCCGCCATCCCGTGCTCGCCTCAGAAAAAGCTCATTTCTACACAGGTGAAAGCTCATGTTTAAAACCAAGTTCAAGGCCAACCTCAAACTTTAAAAGGAGCCAGGATTTTAGCCATAACAATAACAACCCGTTGCACACTGAAGAACCTCATGTGCTTTTGCCAAGAGGCTTCTGCAGAGGCCCATCAAGCTCTGTAGCAGTCACAAGTTTCCCAGCACTTAACTGTAAGTTAAGTAAAAACGACAGAAAGCACAGAATTTTATATATTTAAAAAGGAGGGACGACTTCATACCACTTCCATTTCTTTCATAACACACACAATAAGAGCTGCACAGAAAGCTGCAGGGGAAATGCGCTTCTGTCAGGGTACTGCTCTTCTCCAACCATACAACGCCAAACGTGCACGGAGGAGGGAGATCTGTCATCTTTTTTGAAGATGCACGTGAAATTCCTCTGGATAGGAGGAAAAGGTGCCTTGGCTGGCAAGATTTCTCTCCCCCCCTCTTCTAAGTGTGCTACATCTGTAGTGTTATCTGATGGGTAAAAAAAAAAACAAACCCATAACAAAACCCGAAACAAACCCACCCTGTACTTTTCCAGTATTACTTGAATCTTAGTATCTTAAATATTTGGATTTTAATAACTATTTGGTACTAACATTTCAATTCTGGAAAGCTTTTCATGGATTGAAGAGCTGCTTCTATAGCAGTAGATTTCTGGTACAAATAGGAGAGTAAAATAAAGATTGCCTTTTCTGTCTACAGAAGTCAAATACCTTTAAAAGTTCATTTAATGCAACGGAGCATTCATTTATCGGCAAGCTGAACAGCCCCTAGCCTCCCCGACTTCTACAACCACTTTTTATGTATTTGAAAGAAATGAAGGCTCTAAGCACTGGTAACAGTAGCCTGGCAAAGTCCATGAAGCCTTCATGAATGATTTGGGGATAGCAAAGTTCAAATACCCAGCAGTGCCACACGATAAATTTGGGACCAAATCACATCACTTTGACAAATCATTCATTTAGGGCCAGCAAGAGTAAACACAGTCTTTCAGCAAGCCACCTGATAGGTATGCTATGAACTACAGCTTTGCTGCACAACACTGAGCAACGACAGGGGTATACGAGAGCCAGCTCCTAAGGACCCTTCTTGGACAGGGAGCACGAGCTACCCCCCTAACCTGGCCAGGCAGGCAGTTTCTGGTGCTCACACTTTTGCTGGAGTCTACGTCAAACCTTGTATCAAAAGCAAGAATGCCGTAACTTATTCGGCAGAATGAAGAAGGAAGGAGACCAACCCCAGGTTATTTATGGGTAAATAAAATGCAACTTTTCAAGAATCAGTGTATTCAAACAGTGCAGAAGTAACTAAACAGATCGGTACTCTACAACGTCAATTGCAAATAAGCAGGAAAACTGAAATCACTGTAAAATAAAGGACCGGGGGGGGTGGAATTAAAGAAGAAAGAAAAAAAAAAAAAAAATCAAACTTTTGCAGACACCCCACCCCACCCCTTTTTTTTTTTAATGTTCTCATTTCAGGAGAATACTATTTTAAACTGAAGGGAACTGAAAAAGCAAAAAAGGGTAAACTTTGTGTCCCGGTAAAAGCAAATATAAATTGGAGTGCTGATGCCAAAAAGGGTAAGATTTCAAAATTTCCAGCAGTTTGGTATCACAGTTCCTACTGATGCAAGAAACATTTTTTACTAGCTAATTGCTGCGATGTGGCTGTCAGTCTAACAGCTGTGGCAACTGCTGTGCACCAGGGCTGTGGTAGCCACCGGTTCAGGTTGGGCCACTGGGCTGGCTGCTCCTCCCCGCTGCCAGGACACAAGGATGGCAAAGCTCAGCAGCCAGGAGGGCAGGGAATGGCTGGAGCAGGCAACTGGTGAAAATAAATAAATAGTTACATTTGATCAAAAAACCCCCAAGAATTAGTTCTGGTGATGCAGCTCATGCGCAACGAATAAAACCAAATGACTGCCATGTCCCTAAAGTGCCACCTAGTGGCATGTGGAACAGGTCACGTCTGAATGTTTTGCTCAGAGGGGAGTACCAAAAAATATCTGCCTGCATTATTCAGAGCCTGGAGCCTGAGCCTACCCCCCAGGGTGGGCAGACAGCCGGCGCTGGGCAGGGTAAGCCTCATCTCTTTGGAGCATCTCATTTCCCCCTCATGCAGAAGCCAGGTCTACAGATTAATGATCGATCAGCAGAGCTACAATTTCTCCTCTACAAAAGATCTCCATTCCTCGGAGTGATGTGCCTCTGACCCAAGTGCCCAAGCGTAACAAAATCGGTATGCTGTTGCAGGGGATTTTGTGCAGGGACTGACAGTGTTTAACCCAGGCAAAAATCTTTTGTTTGACTGCAACGTGCATCGAAGCAAAGAAGGTTTGCTGATTCAGCTAACCCAACAAAGTCCTCTCGGCAAGGCCTGAGAGGCTTTACAAATATGTTTTCAAGCTGATGTCTCCCCATAAGGATTTTAAAGGAAAAGTAACTCCTGTTTTTTTCTTTTGGCAGAAGGATTCTTCACAGACATCCTTCCCTTCACCAACTTGGACATGGGGTAATAGCTCATCCCTCTAGCCTTCTTTCTGGGCACGGGCAGAGTGAGACTGGCTCCAGGATATTCCAGTCCAAGCTCCTATAGCAGAGTGTAAGGACAAGGTGATCCATGAGGAGCAGCTGAGGTGGGTTCCCTCTAGTTCTTAGTTGGTTTTATACCACGCTTAGTATAGTCTTTAGGCAATTCACTTCTCATTCAGAAACACAGCAATAAACTGCCTCCCTCCATCACAGCGATAAATGTCTTAAAATTTTCCCGCATCTTGGAAATGTCTCACCATAACACAGAATCACAGAATGGCAAGGGTTGGAAGGGACTTCAGGAGATCATCCAGTCCAACTCCCCTGCTAAAGCAGGTTCACCTAGAGCAGGTTGCACAGGACATCGTCCAGGGTGGTGTTGAGTATCTCCAAAGGAGACTCCACAACCCCCCTGGGAAGCCTCTTCCAGTGCTCTGTCACCCTCAGAGTAAAGAAGTTCTTCCTCACATTCAACTGAAACCTCTTATGTTTCAGTTTGTGCCTGTTGCCCCTTGTTCTGTCGCTGGGCACCACTGAGAAGAGTCTGACTCTGTCCTTGTGACATCCACCCTTAAGATATTTGTATGTGTTGATGAGATCCCCTCTCAGCCTTCTCTTCTTCAGGCTGAACAAGCCCAACTCTCTCAGACTTTCCTCATAGGGGAGATGCTTCAGTCCCTTTATCACCCTAGTTGCTCTCCTCTGGACTCTTTCTAGGAGTTCCTCACCTTTCTTGAACTGGGGAGCCCAGAGCTGGACACAGTACTCCAGGTGGGGTCTCACCAAGGCAGAGTAGAGGGGGAGGATAACCTCTCTCGCCCTGCTGGCCACACTCCTCTTAATGCACCCCAGGATGCCATTGGCCTTCTTGGCAGCAAGGGCACACTGCTGGCTCATGGTCAGCTTGTCGTCCACCAGCACTCCCAGGTCCCTCTCAGCAGAGCTGCTTCCCAGCAGGTCAGCCCCCAGCCTGTACTGGTGCATGGGGTTCAACCTCCCCAGGTGCACATTAGGGTTTAAAATTCTTCACCACTGTTTTATAAAAATGAGAGATTATGTATTCTGCAACGTGGTCTGCCAAAGGAAAATTCAGTTACAGTAGCATAAAAGCGCTTAAAAGTGCACCTCATTCATGTCCGCAGAACAGAGCAAGCTACTGACATAGGAAATGCTGCCGTGTGGGTATGGCCAGGTCCACATCCACGGTTTATAGCAGTCGGGCAAAGAAAATTCTGCTCATGGGTGCTACCAGCAGTGCAAAAGAGAGTTTGCCAACCCAGTCTAAGAGTATCTTGATTTTGGGAAGAAGAGGAAGTGACCACAGAGAAGAGCAAGACAGTGCCCTATTTCAAACCTCCTGACAAGCCTCTCTTTGTGAAGACCAATGTCCAGTTATTAACAGGCAGTACCTCCTTTTTCCCCAGCGCCGTCTCGTATCTTTAGGAACA